TGTTCCGGCGCCATTAACCCTTTTGTGGCCAGGTAGGATGAGTGCACTGGCACGGAGAAGGAGAGTGCGGCCGGGATTGGGGTTGGACGGCGGCTGGAACTGGTGCCCTTTTCCCCCCGTTCCCTCCTCCTCCGTGCCCCTGTCCGGCCCGTATATACCCTTAGAGCCGCGCGCGCTGAACGTTCCCGGCGTTCGAAGGCCGTTGGGTGGTGGTTGGGCACTGTGGGGGGGAAGAGGAACTGGTCACAGTAACGGTGGAACCCCCCCTGCGGGGGCACGTGCGCCGGAGCTGGGCTGGGATGACGCAGCTCGAGGCCCCCGACAGGAGTGGGGTGGGGAGCAGCTCTGTGCTCCCCTGGTGCCTGGGGCCACACTGCCCTGGCTGGAGTGGAGATGGGGTCACGGTTCAGCCCATGTGTGGCGGTGGGCCCATGGTCACGTGCGGCGGGAATGCCTCAAGGCCTGGAAGAACGTGGCAGGAGCTGCTGACCTCAGCTGAGCTGGCCATGCTGCTTCCTTAGGGCTTGGGATGGTGGCAGCAACTGCGGGGGAGAGAACAAGGGGCTTTGCTAAGGCCTGGGTCGCTGAGGGGGCAGGAAGCAGGTGTGCAGGGAGGAGAGGAGCCAGGACATTGAGGTTCCGATGGTGTGGGGGAGGCTGGGCTCTGCCAGGTGGGGTGCTCGGCTCTGCCTGAGGCCAGGTGGGAAGCCCAGAGGTTGTCAGCCAGTACTGCAGGGTGGGATGTGGTCACTGCTCTTGACCCCAGGGTGGTTGCCAAGAGGGGACAGTGGATACAGCTGGCAGGGCTATGAGCGAGGGGCTAAATAGCAGCCCAAGAAATTAATCTTGGATGCAAGGAAGAAAGCAGGCTAGGTTTGCACCTTTTGAGACTAACCAAAGGAGTTGGATATCCTCCTGCTGGACTTCTTCTGTGGGCTTCTTCCCTGGGCTCTGCTTTCTGCACGTCCTTTCACAGCATCTGATGTCGCAAACTGGAGTCCACTCAAAAGCATGTGCTGCAGCTCCCTTCATTGGATGCTGTGAAAGGATGTGCAGAAAGCAGATCACTAGGAAGATGTGTTGGGAGGAAGTGCAGGAGGCTGGGAGTTAAGTATTGGGATCAATTACCCAGAGCAGTGATTTTCATCTAGGGTGCTGTGGTACCCCAGCATGCTTTGAGGTCTTTTTAGTGGTGCCATGGGTGCCAGGCAAGCTTAGCACTGGTAGTTCTGCCAACACAATTGACAAGACTCAACCTAAAGATTTAAATGTAGAAGTCATAATGTTAAAACTGTTCTGGCCTGTTGGGGTCTTTCTGAGTTCTTTGTGACAGAAGAGTGACTCTGTTATTTTTCTGTAGCCAGAAAATGAGTGAGGACAAAGAGCTGGCATTTTTTTGAGGGGCATCTTGACTTTAAAAAGGTTGCCAACTGCTGGTATTAGAGGTTGTGGGATTTTGGTCATTGTAAATTTATGAGTATATGTCAAACATTTGTCTGGGATAGTTTAGAAAGGGATCTCTTTGTATTGAGCTTGGACTAGATGACCTCCTGGTTTCCTTTCCCACCCTGTTTTTCTGTGATTTTTGTTGTCAAAAAGCACACAAGCAAACTTGCAAAAGGATGTAGTAGGGGATTTCAGTGATTTGTATTTTTCTGCAAGACTTGCCAAATTACAGAGAGACCCGGACTAATATAACCTGAATAAATTGCTATCTAGGCCCCTGTTTTCCAAGTGCTTCTGTGTGGATACAGGGGTCTGGCTATGCAGCACTAGTTAGAGAATTACGGCTTTTTAGTCTGTGTCACTATGCTTCTTAAAACTGTGAACAGAAAAGGGAATTCGTGCTCATCTTGCTTTTCAGATCATCTTGCTAGGTTCATATCAACTATGCAAATAGGTAAACATGAGCAGGATTGACTTTAAATCTATAAAACCATTAGTAGTTTCCAAATTAGGCTAACTTTTTAACTAATCTAAAAACTAACTTTTTTCGCCTCTTGGTTCTCTGCATTCAAATGCAGTTTAATACAATATACTTGCTCCTATATATGGATAAAGAGGACATCTGTAGTTAGCTTTTTCACTGTTTTTTTTTATCAGTTCAGAAACTGAAGCATCCACCTTTGACATTACTCAATAAGTGGATTTAAACTTATAGTTTATAAAGATATTAAAAAAAATGTAACAACAATAAGAGAAGAAATGATCAGGCATCTAATACTTGTACAAGACTTCAATTTACAAAGCTTAGATTAGTGTAGGATGCTGTGGGGAAAAATAAAGAAAATGGCACTGACTTTTATTGCATTTTATTTTTCTCCTAAGACACGGAGTATGATATTGCACGTATAAAATTGTGTCTCAGGCCCTTTATGGACTGAGTCAGGAAGAACCAGAGAATGATATTGATGCACAGGTGGATTTCCCCTGCTTGCAGTTTTTGTGAGCTAAACTTCTGCAAGTCATGGTTTACTTGTCTCCATTTGGTTTTCTGAAGCTGTAACTGTGCTAGTTGCTAGCTCCTGATGGCTGAATAATCATTAGTTACAGGGCTGGGTGAGCAGAAATGGTATCTGCTTTTTGAGATGCATCCTACATTTAAGCTTCATAAAAAGAAAGAAAGAAATGAATGGTAATAAGTGACTAATGGTTGGGTGAGAATAAGCATGTGTTGCCCTAAGGGGGAAGCATTCAGCTGGTATTGAAGGGTACTACAGTGTGAAATTTTAAGTTTTGCACTTTGAATCATATTTTACTAAGTAATTGTTAAAATATGGGTAAGTTTAAATGTAATAGATATAACTTTATCATGTATTTTTGTAAAATAGCCTTGTATTATTATTAATCGTGATTTTTTTTTTTTTTTTTTTTTTAACCAGGTCAGGTGGGAAATTTTGAGTTGAACGTAAATGCACTCTTAGCACAGTTCTGCCTTCTTATCTGCAAATTACACTGGGAAGTGTTAATTATGGCTATTTGCATAAACCATTACATAATTAAAAATGTAGTACAAGCATGCTAATTATGCAAAAACTAGGCAAACTTACATCTAACTTAAACATTAGGGTTAAGGAATGTTAGACTGTTTTAAAAAATGACTTTTTTTAGTTGTGACAGCTGCTTAATTGGACTGATTTCATGTTTCTTTAATTAACTGATTTTGAAATTTCCTGCTTCAAGTTGTCCTTTACTGAGACTTGAAAATACTTCCTCGATCTGTTATGGACCATAGCTTGGTTGCAGCTGCAGGAGCTAGGAAGCTCTATTCAAATTTGGTTTTGAAAATGATTTACTTTTTAGTATAAACAGAGCTTTAGAGTAGTTAACATACCCTAAGTATGTTTCTCTCGGTGTCTTATAAAAACTTTTGAATCTCCTCTGAATGATTAAATCATTAATTTAGAAAGGCATCTAAGGGGTCATAAACCATCCCGGGTACAGATGTAGGATTTCCTATTGTGAACTTCAGTTGAAAGGAATTGTTTTAGAGGTAACTGTAACGTTTCTCAAAGCAAATTTTTAGTAATGTGACTACCACTTCATTGTTGTTTTGTATTTATATCTAAAGCAAAAATTAGAGTGGCAGAAAAAAAATCTTGGTTTTGCATGCTGAAAAAACCAAAATCTCTCTCCACTGCTTGGTTAGATTTTGAAAATAGCTGAGAAACTAGCAACAGTGAAGATGCAGAACGTTTTATAACCAGAACATAGCTGTTGTTGCAAAATCATATAATACATGGATCTTATAAGCAGTTGCATGCAGTGATGGGTCCAGGATACTCTATACACTTTTGCTGCATATTGTTTCTTAGACATTATTAAATTCATTTATGCTACTGTAGACTTATTTTATCCAGGGCTTATGTTATTCATTGAACATTGTGTAATCATATACTCAGTAATTATAGAGCTTACAAACACTGACTCAGGTGCTTAAGGTTTTGCACACATGTAGTCCTACTGAACTAAGGTGGAACTCCTCTTAAGTACATGCCTGAGTGTTTTAAAGTTTGACTTTGGGGTAACAAATGTCAAATGAAAATCTCAGTTTAAAATAATTTATTATTACTAATTTAAGAAATGTTTAAGAGGCTAACATATGAGAAGGTTTAAAGATTCAAATGATTTATGCTTTTTGTTTTAAAACAATAGAGTAACACTAGAAAATGAAGTAAGTTTGATAACTTTCTAATTAGTTTCACTTTTTGGTTCTCATATATTATCAGAACACTTCATTCCTTGCATTGCAAACATTACAAAGGAATGTTTCGATTCTAGCAAGAAGACTTTTTTATTTCCTTTTTTTTTTTTCCAAAAAAACCCCTGCTAGTAGTGGGGAAAATTGTCTGAAGGTGCTGCCGTTATCTTCAGTGAGGCCAGGATTTCACCCAAGGCTTTAGTAAAACTTTCTGTAGCTGCTAGCAAAATTGAAATATTGAGTCTACTGATAAGTAGCTTTCACTTTCAAAGGACTTAAGTGATAACTTTCTCACATTAGGTGCTTAGTAATAAAATGACTCTGTTGGAGGTTGAGACTGAATTCATTTTCAGCCTTTATTCCCTTCATGTGGAAGTGATGCTACAAAAGTTCTTGCTACATCTAATAGACTTGAACCATATGCATTGTTTATCATGGAGCAGTGGTTAAGAAAGAGAGGGCAATTTTATTTTAAAGCCAAAATTAAATTAAAAACTGGCTGAAAGAAAAATCATCATACAAACTGAATAGGAAATAAAGTGATGTAATGAAAACAAACTAGACTTAAAGACACTTGAACGTTTTATATGGGGAGGGAGAATTGGCAGATAGGAAAAAGTGGGATGTTAACTTCAACCCTTTCTTTTTTTAACATTTTGTCTTGTTCTGTTGATTGTAATCACTACAGTAGTAATACCCAGTTTTCAGAATGCTGATGTTTTGGTCATAAATCCCTGTTTTTAGTTTCTTATAATTTTGACAAGAAGTAACCTTCTAGAATTAACTTTTTCATGCTTGGTCTTAGCCATGGACTGAACTCATTTTGTCAGG